GGGTGACCAATTTCATGGTCATTAGATATCGAGTCAGTCCACCGTGTAGTCGTGTAATACTTTTTGACCAGAAAAACGGCAATCAACGAGCAGCGGTTTGACATTTAGTCTACTTGGTACAATGAACAGATTGCTTATCCTTCGTTTGAAGAGGATAGTTCAAAACTAGTTTGCATAATGGTTTGTCTTTTGTCTCAACTGAACGATTCGGATCGTTAATGTCAGTCACATAATGTTCCTTCAAATGATAACTTACGTCTCAAGGCGTGGTTTTTCTTTGTCAAACTTTCATAGCGGTGTCCTAACATGGAACAGTTACTGAGCTGTGGTACAGAGAATTTAAGTCTTCAGGAGAATTGGAGGTCGAGCCTAGCTAGTTAGAGTTACACGATGGCTAATCATTCCACACCAGCTATTTAATGCCAGCTCGCTAGATGAGAAACCCAAAAGAGTCAATTACGCATATGATGTTGAGCATCAATAATTAAATCCATATTCATTCACACAAAATGTATGAAATAAAATATGATCTAAAGTAATGGTTATATTTTCAGCAATATCCGTTATTATAAAGTCCATCATCATTAATCTGAACAGGATCTGTTGGTTGACGTTAAAATATGAACTGTATATTCCACCTATTACACATGAGAGCCCTGTACCGGTCAGCACTCATCCCTCTTTCTCTTCTCTGAATACCCCTCGGCCCTCACCCTGACCCTGTGTACCCTTGCTAGGTCTGCTGTGCCGCAGTTTAACATCGTCACAGTGCGCTAGCTTCATTCCCGCAGCTTTCAGTCTGATGAATATGTCTTTGTGTTCCAGAATCATAAGCTCAGGATCCCAACCTCCTATGTCTTTAATGTGTTGTGTACGTGCTAAGAAAACGTTGGGAGATATTTCACATCTTATAATGCAAGAGGGAAGTTAGGAATTGTTTGGTTTACCCTCGCACACAACCCTATAAACATCCCGAGTCTGCTTTTCTCTGTGGAAAAGTACCCAAATTCCATGAAAGCTGTAAATAAACCTCCATTTCCGTAAGAAGCAGACGCAACAGAGGCATCATTAGTGTCCAATATCTCCACCAATTTAGCTATGTTCGTATGTTCTGTGCAAGCTAATATCGTCATCTAGAAGGAAGAAGTACTTAGTTTGAACCTGTAAACGTGCTAAATCTCGCCCCCTTGCAATGCCCAGATCTTCATTATTACTTACAATATATCTTAACAATGGATACTCCGCAATATCTCGCCGTATCTCGACCTGAATAATTATCTGGCCCGTCATCGTAAACAACTGCCGGGAAATCAAAACCAAGTTTATCTCTAACACTCTTAGCTTGCCTCAAAATAAGATGAGGACGCCTGGCTGTTTTTACCACCAAGGTCACACATTCCCACAATTTAGTACAACTTTTAATTTGATCTTGAGGAAGAAGTGTAACGGGATCTCGTTGGTTAAGCCCACAAGCTTTGAAATCACAAGAGCCCCCAACTGGAGCCACTACCTGTTTTAACAGTTTTCTGTCCTCCTGAAAGAATTTCTCCTCTATGAGGATCAGTCGAGATGCTATCTTATCACAAGGAGTCAGTCTAACAGGATCATTGAGACAGGGACTTGATGAAACACCTTTTCGAGGTGAGACTGGGGTAACACAAAGTTCCTTGTCACCCACTATCCGTCGCAAGAACACACCTCCGTCCTCCAGTGTTTCTAATAGTGAACGCACCACTGAATGTCGAGCACTCTACTAAAAAAAGAGATAAGTCAGTTTTATCGTAATCAATACATCTTCCTAATCTTTCTTACACTAAGCGATAATCTCTTGTCAGACTGAAAGCTTGTTGTACGTCCGGATCACAGAATGTAATGACTAACTTTCCATCGTTTGTAACATCAATACATCTCCCTTCATACCACAACCTGAGTCTGTGATTGTAGAAAATGTAAGAATTGGTCTCGAAAGGAATTGGATTCTCCTCTGAAGATTGCGCTTGAAGCATTGACTGAATTTCAATTACAGGTTCATTTGTACTTTTTATTTGAATATTGTAATTGATGACTATCAGAGTCACTATAATTAGCAAAGTAAATAGTAGCGGCAATATGCTTCTTTGTCCGAACAAATTCATTTTCAACCCCCTGCCAGTAGTTATTTAATACTTTATTTGGATAATAGACACATAACATGGATGACAACAGTATTTTTTATAAACACTTGCATCTATCATGTATCATCATCATGTATCATGTAGCCATTAGATAATCTGAAGGTCACGAAAACACAGATATCGAGTGCAAATCCTGGACAATAGTGACCTAACTTTAAGCATCTTAATAGAGTTAGTCGGCTCAATTCAGTGTCTATTATCGGCTAAGCAAGCGGTATTAAATAATATGTAAACAACTGCAGACTGCAAGGGGCAAAGGTGACGATACCCACCTACACATGTAAAATATGATGCTGTACAGCTAACTTAAGTTGAAGTATTTGTTTACCCCATGAGGTTGAGCAGTGTCATTTTTATATTCTATTAACACTGCCTAAAATTTAGCAATGTTAACTGCTGCTCAAGCCTTTTGTTCTCTTTCCTGGCCGTAATTTAAATGCTTAATTTTGAATACTGCAAACATTTTTTTGCAATTTCCTGTTGGATGAAACTGGTGATATACTACTCGACATATTTCTAAATTAAATGGTACCCAACTGGCTCTAATCGTGTAATAATATATTAAACGTTTGTAAATTAGAAGCTTGTTTCACACTGACGTAAAGACGACAAGTTCACGGAAATCAGGGATGTTGGATGTTTTCAAGCTATAATAGTTCGCAGTGCAGTGGTTCCATCATCAATCATCATCATATAATATTTTAGCATTTTATGGCTTCGCCCTCTACCTTGGGTCTCTAATCAGAGTATTTTGATCACATAAAACCCCACAACTAGCACACAAAACCCCACAACTAGCACACAAAACCCCACAACTAGTACACAAAACCCCACAACTAGCACACAAAACCCCACAACTAGCACACAAAACCCCACAACTAGCACACAAAACCCCACAACTAGCACACAAAACCCCACAACTAGCACACAAAACCCCACAACTAGCACACAAAACCCCACAACTAGCACACAAAACCCCACAACTGATACCACCGACTGCTGTACACCACACAGACTGTGATTATGCCCTGTTCGGTCCTTGCCGTGGGAGATTAGAAAATTACCTTCTCCTGACATCCCTTCTTGTATATAATTATATCTCACTGTCGGTAAGTTTTATAGGTTCACATTCGTGGGAACAATTTGATTTTTAAATCTACATTTTTGTCTTAATTAGGATTTGAAAAGAATGATCAGGAAATTTGGGTTGCCCCTGATCCTCCTCTCAGAGCTGGCTTGAAATGTTGTATCTCATTGTAGCGCAATCTCACCTCGTTCTACGATGCTTTTCTTTTGTTGAGCTGAGCGCAACGGAAAGCTGTACATTGCCCGCATCATAATTGAGTGTGAATACAAATAGGTTTTTCTTTCTCTTTACGTCCCTTTGTTCCTTAATCTATCTTAATCTACCGTTTATTCTAATGTGTTTATCACACCGTCACTACTTAATTACTTCACACTCACACACACACACTATCTATACTCTATAGTCTCTATTTACGCAATGAACAACTTTCAATATACCAACATATTATGTTCCTTTTAACTACTGCCTTGACAAAACATATGTGTGTGTGTGTCGTCAAGAAAAACATACTCTCAGGAATCTAAAAGGTTGATTGTTAGCCCGCTATTTCACTATTCCTCGTTAGCCGGCTATTTCACTCATTTCTCCAACATTGGTCCACCAATCGTAGGAGAAATAGGTCAATGATCGGTAAAAGAACAACAGGACATGAAGCCCGAGTCATGGCACTTGAATGCTATTTATTTCACCCTGACTAGAATCAAGTTCGAGGTTATAAATTTATTCTAGAATAGTCGTCACAGCACTTCCATTGCTTCCTACACTTCTCCAAGATGTTGGCAGATATTACAATTAAAATAAAGCGAGTTGCGAAGTGTGTGATGTATTACAGGTACCTCGGTGTGATTTGAAAATTATGGCTTTGTCGAGTGAGAAAGTTTAGAGGATTCCCAAAATCTCTCGCTTTGTACATGATGGAGAAAACGAAACACTCTCTCTTTCTAGATAATCGAGCTAGTATAGAGACAATGACATTGTTAATGTTAAGAACATTGTATGTTGAGAGAGTACAGTGTTCAGTGGATTGGGTTTTTTGATGAGGTGTAACTGTAGGAGGAAGGTATAGTGAGGAGGTAAGTGTAGGAGGTAAATGTACGAGGTAAGTGTAGGAGGCAAGTGTAGGAGGTAAGTGTAGGAGGTAAGTGTAGGAGGTAAGTGTAGCTGTGTAGGAGGTAAGTGTAGGAGGTAAGTGTAGGATGTAAGTGTAGGAGGTAAGTGTAGGAGGTAAGTGTAGAAGGTAAGTGTAGGAGGAAGGTATAGTGAGGAAGGTATAGTGAGGAGGTAAGTGTACATAAGGTAAGTGTAGGAGGTAAGTGTAGGAGGTAAGTGTAGGAGGTAAGTGTAGGAGGTAAGATAGTAAGGATTTCTAATTAATGTTATATTTACTCTACACATACTGTATCACTATGTACAGGTATGTACATATTATCACACTGAACACATTTTAGAATTCATCAAGCTCTGATTTGGAAATACTGCCTCTGTAAGATACAAAATTTCCAAGATAGTGCAGAATCAAAAATGATTTCATACCGATAAAAACTCGTAAACCTCAAATCAGCATTGAAGTTACGAGCTATTGTCACTTGAGACTCACTCACAAACTTGTAATGTAATCTCACTGTGAGTAGCAGTACATTACAAGTTTATCACCGATCCAAGCCGCAACCTGATTATCGATTGTTAAAAGCTGCACAAGCCACCACCAACATGTTTCGTTAACTCTCCTCCATTTTCAGGTGTGGGATCTTCGGAACATGAGAACGGCAATCTCTACGATACAATGCGACGCGTCAGTCAATAAACTGGCGATATCAGACGAGTCCCACCATACCATGGCAATTCCTTTCGATAACAGACATGTCAGACTCTACGACCTACAGGTTAGATATTGTTTTATATGGAACCAGTTAAAAAAATACCTAAATAAATTCTGCGTTTTATCGTTCCTTTTATAAAATCTCGCTTTTTATAAAATCTTGCTTTTTGTAAAATAAAATCGGTGCACCGTACAATAGCACCAGTCTGTTGTTTATATATACTATATTTATAGCTGCATCGTGAATACTGAATACTGAATAATGAGTTTGCTGCCCCTCTTCGAAGTTTGACAATGATCTGAAAGTCATTTTAGGGTATAAACTGTAGAATCAAGTATTTTTTGCGTCCATGTACACCTAAAACATATTCATCCTCAAAATATTCGCTATCTATAGTAGTAGTGGCAAGAAAATAACACAAGGTACAACGATCTGTCATTTGCTTGGAATATACTCACGTAACATACACAATGTTTACAGTTATAAAGATACTGATATTACTCCTACATAGTTTTTGCAGTATTTATAATATAAGCGCACGTAAATGTTATGTCTTACGTACGGCACCGTGCATGATAAAGACTCAAGAATTGCGGTCGAATATTTCTTGCAAATCATGTTCGAGAGCTTGATCATGCTGTCCTTGCTTTCAAATGTACTCAGCTTAGTGGTCATATTATATTAAGCTGACATAATATTATGGGATGGGCAGCACTGACAGTGAGTTTACTGACAGTAAGTTTACTTACGTGTTCGTTCTCTACCAGCTGCATAATGTTTAACAGCAGGAGTGATTGCTAAACTGTGCTATATTTAAATCATATAATTGAGGTGTAATTTATTTAAATCATCATTGGTTAGGTCACTGAGATTCTGTGTCCAATACCTCTAATTATTTCTGGTCTTTCTGGTCTTAGTTGTTAAAAAAACATCCGTGAAACCTACGTAGAATTTCAAGTAGAAGAATTCATAATCGATATTACGGTTTTCTTGAATCTCTTACATCGAACAGGAATCAAGAATGATAAATGCCTATATAGAGATATAGGCCGTCGCTTCAAATTGCTACAAAATTTTAGGACTGATATTATATATGGTACCATACAAGTTGTGTCACCCTAACAACATCAAACATTGTCCTCGCTGTATTCTTGTCCAGGGTATATATAATTAGCGGACTGTTACCAATGGTACATATTTAAAATACCCTTCATGAGACCTACCAGACGAAACACATGACAGTTATTAGTTCTGTTAACGTCACTCTCTATTATGGGCCGTATTAGTATTACCCCTGATATTTGAGGTGTCGGCCAAAATTATCTGGGCTCATTGCACTGGACTGGAAACGTGATTACTACCTTAAATCTTTATATTTAGCAGCTAATTACTATCATTGGGCCCGTCTTAAATCTTTATATTTAGCAGCTGATATTGGCCCGCCCTTCAGAGCATCACAAGATCACATCATATAACTGTGAGAGTGTTCACAAGATCATATCATATAACTGTGGAAGTGTTCGGTTTGTAGTGAAGTTGTCCAGAGTAGCCTACGTCTTGAAATACTGATCAGGCTAAAACTAGAACTCTTTACAAAACGAATGAACTGCATATGATAATTACAGTGCTCCGCCCTCACATCTCTGGGTATGGGGTGTCGTGGGGTGTCGTGCCCGGAGAACACTGTTAACTTTCCGAATCAACAGGAACCCTAATAAATAAATTCCATATCCCTAAATAAAGAAATAACAAATTCCAATAAACGGTGCAGCGAGTGTACCACTCTAAAACACTATATTGTGGGACCTTGTGCCTGTTACACATTCCTTCTCTCACACTCAGCATATGTTATTATGTGTTTTGTAATTTGTACTCTGAGACTAGAGAGAGAGAGAGGGAGAAGAGAGAGAGAGAGAGAGGGAGAGAGAGAGAGAGAGAGAGAGAGAGAGAGAGAGAGAGAGAGAGAGAGAGAGAGAGAGAGAGAGAGAAGAGAGAGAGAGAGAGAGAGAGAGAGAGAGAGAGAGAGAGAGAGAGAGGAGAGAGAGAGAGAGAGAGAGAGAGAGAGAGAGAGAGAGAGAGAGAGAGAGAGAGAGAGAGAGAGAGAGAGAGAGAGAGAGAGAGAGAGAGAGAGAGAGAGAGAGGAGAGAGAGAGAGAGAGAGAGAGAGAGAGAGAGAGAGAGAGAGAGAGAGAGAGAGAGAGAGAGAGAGAGAGAGAGAGAGAGAGAGAGAGAGAGAGAGAGAGAGAGAGAGAGAGAGAGAGAGAGATGGGGATATCCTGTGCACGCAACTACACCTGGTACACTTACTCACACACGTGATAACACACGTAACAACTTTACAGCAGCCTTGTTTTAACCAAGTTAATATTATACAAATATAGGTTCTCAATGTTTCTCTCTCTCTCTCTCTCGTTTAACTTTAAGAGCAATATATGTCTGTGGTGGTTTGGTGAGGTTGACACGCCCCTGCGTAATGCTACATTATGTAACTGTAAATTTAGGGGATCTGCTAATAATACATAATATGCGAATATTACAATATTATATATTATATGAACGTCTACATAATGCTATCGTATAGGATATATATAACACAACCTGTTCTATTCTGTGGATTTGATTTCAATATATGGCCTAATTGCCCCTCTCCACCGATCTTTATCCTCGTAAAATCCAGAGGATCGCTCTTCCGGGTCTCAGGAAAGTATTAGTGTTATATTTATTAGAGTTATATTTATTAGAGTTATATTTATTAGAGTTATATTTATTAGAGTTATATTTATTAAAGTTATATTTATTAGAGTTAAATTTATTAGAGTTATATTTATTATAGTTATATTTATGACATCTCAACAAGGAAAAAATACGCTGCATTCCCTTTTAATTTCTAATTAATGACTTAATTATTAAATCTTAAAAACGTTCTTTTAGTGCAAATTACTTCATGACAATTTACTTGATTATCTCAAAAATAGGAGTTAAATACCCTTTTATATTATACGCAACGTCGTTAGCATAATATTTCAAGTTGAATAAAACCTTGCTTTGGTTTGAATGCTAAAATTGAATGCTAAAATCTCACTATCAATTATTATGAAATGTTGCAAATCGCATAGTGAGTTCAGAATTTAAAATTGATGAAATATAATTATTTGGTTCAGAGTTAGGATTTAGGAAAGATACAATCATTTCAAAAAGGAGCCTGGAGCAGTTTATATCTCCACCGAAAGCACACTCCCCAAATTGCGTGCATTGCAGTAACTTCTTTCAAACTTCATGAATCGAGATCAAATTTTTTGCAATGTAATAATGTATTCAGAATCAATAATCAATATATGCACTTATACAAATCACTTGGAATATATTTGAAAGAGAATAACAAGTAAAGCTCAAAAACGATACTTTTACATTTCTCCGTACAAAGCACAATAGCGTGAATAGCTTTTGTCGATGTGATCTTAAACGATTCCACGTTCAATTTTGGTTGGAACTTGCCAACCTAGTGCAGAATGAAGCAAGTTATAGACATATTTCATACGTATCAAATTGGATGTGCTTTCAGTTGAGATATAGCGCGTGCCTTTCAAAAATAGTTCCTATTCCTACATTCATCAGCGCACTCAAAATATTTCTTTTAGAATTCCTCAGAACATTTTGAACATGTATATTGGTAAACTTTTCTTTCCGATGAGGAAAAATGGACTCCATTATAAAGTCATTGACATAGCCCATATGAAACACAACCATATATTTCCCTCGCTTAATATAGCCTCATCTGATGGCAAGTAAGTTATCGCTTCTCGGCCTTTTGGCTAAGATCAAGTGTAGTATTTGTTCTTATCAGTTTAATATCTGATACGCTACTCATCGAGTAGCTTCAATATTAAATTGATTTTTGGAATTAGGTCTTGGATGTGAAGCTTGCTTCAGCCAGACCACGAGTCTTCCCCGTATTGCAGTACCTCGGGGCTAGGCTCACCTCCCTTTGGGGAGGACCCTTTATAAACGAACAATAAAAATACTGGTCCAAACCCCACTTTAAACCCCGATTAAACGCGGACGTTTCCTTTCCTCAAACAAGGCTTCACATGCATAATGTGAACAAAACAAAACCGTGATAATGATATAATACCGCAAACCTTGATTTACTGCGGTTGTTTCCTTTCCCAAACTCCGCGGTGAATCTGTAATTAATATTAGGCCAGTAATTGTCACAAGGTAGCCTCGATTCATTTAATTTCGGTATTTTCATATATGCATATTTTCGTCAATGCATATTTTATTTGGTTCCCCAGGCGTTAATTGTGTTCAAATCGTCCAACATATTTTGTTAGGAGGGGGCTTGTCGTCAAACTGGGTGACACTCACGTTACTTCTGACCAAGAACTATAACAATTGATAATGTATAAATATTGATAATGTATAAATTATCCTCGCTCTGGTGTAAGTTGAGTAGCAGCAAGTATGACCTGTTCGGCGTCTACCGCTGTTAACTGTTCTGTACCGTTCTGTACCGTTCTGTACCGTTCTGTACCGTTCTGTACCGTTCTGTACCGTTCTGTACCGTTCTGTACTGTTCTGTACCTTTCTGTTTACATCCTAATATGGTCATACTTTGGTCATGTCACTGATGACAGGACTATGACTGAACTCGGGCGACGGGAGAATCCGCTGACGCATGACAGCAATTTAAAAGCTGTCAAATGTTGCACGGAGTAAACAGGCATTACGTCAAAGTAACGCCCATTTCCGTTCGTAAACCTTAGCGGGGTTGTTGACTGCTTGACTTCCTCAACGAAATCTTTATCACATGTAATGTTTCAGGAAATTCAGATATTTCTATAAAAAGAGCTCGTGATAATTTTTAAATAGTAAGCCACCTGGCAGCAGGCAGATGTTTCCAGTATTAATCAATTATGAATTATTAAATACTCTAATATGCAAGTGTTCCACTGTGCAAGAGTGGGACACAAATGGTACTCAACATCAATATCGCGGAGCACGCCAAGTATAATCCTTCATTGACAGTAGCGCAACACCTGCGCGCGTTATGTGCGCGCGGCGCGATTGATCAATTTAATTTAATCAGTTCCTGGCCGTATAGCTTGTAGTCCGTGATATAGTAAGGGGAAAAGTGGTCGATTTAAGGGTTCCGTTGGATTTGAATGTTCACAAGGATTTCTCAACGGAATATGGTAGTTAGGACCCCTACGAACATAATTAGACTTGTTGCCAATTTTGTATCTCAACAGAAACACCACTTTTACCACTTTTTACCACCTCTGTACCACTTTTCTGGTTTGCCAAATATCTTTAGTTGTGAACATCGTAGAAGGCTGCAAATTAACCTAGAATGTTTATCTTATCAAGGAGTAAAACTTTTGTATCAAAAATTTTTACATTGGACAATCAGCTAATTGGATAATTACCAATTAGTTAATCACCGAAAAAAGTGAAAATTTTTTATTGGCTCAAAATGATTGAAATCGTTTGAAACACGGAGAAATGTAGTTTTTAGAAAAACTTCAAAAATTTTTCACTTAAAAATTTTTTTCGAGACTTTGAAAAAAAGTTTGAAAATTTGAAAATATTTTTTTCCGCCAAAGGTGATCGAATTGCATGAAACGTGAATAAAAATGCTTTGCAGTAAAACTTCGAAGATTTTTAGATTGGGGAATTCTAAAATCATCAATATTTGAAGTTGGAGTTCAGTAAATCTCGACATATTTTAGTAATTAGGAATAGCTTAGCGGAAAGGGCTGAACCTGAAACAGGTTAACCACACAATATTAGAGTTTCATAACTAATTACAATACAGCTTTATCAAATTCCACATAAAGAAACAGCACAAAAGGACCATTTAAGATCGAACCGATTTTACCTGCTGTTCTATCATTTTATTGATTTCAATGATCAAAACCTCTGTACTGTCAATCTTGCCAATCTATACCGGGTATCTGAATGTACCGGACCTTTTATTTACCTCTATAATTAGACCCAGTTGTGCAAGAAATCCGATTTCTCACAGGGGTATCTTTTAACTGTGCACTTTTTGTCACTCTCGCAAGAGGCCCGGTATTATAGGGGGGTATAGGAAGCGTAAATATACCTTCCATCATCCACTGTGGCTTTTTTGTATTGTGAATGCGCATGCCGCTTCGTTTGCTATGCCAGATACCTCAAATAACCCCCATATCTCATTACCAGGGTCGGGATAGAGCTGGAGATAGCATCGAGAGGTTGCTAGAAATAGCTAGATTTAGAGTAAACTGGTGGTAGCTGGGTGGTGCTAGCATGGATGTAGCAGAACGTAGCTACACGGGGTTTCATTGGAGTTGGTTATTTTAATGGCCAAAGAGTGCCGGAACTAAAGTTACTTAAGATTGCAGTTGAGGGGCAGTGTAAACCACGGTGTAGTCACGGACACAGAGCTACAGTGCAGGAGTACTGCAAAAGAACAGTGCAAGTGATACAGTCTGCAACAGTAAAACGCCGACAAAGCTAGACTTAGAGTGAACTGATGAAAGCTGGGTGTTGCTAAAATGGAGGTGGCAGAACGTACTAGTACTACATGATGAAAACAGGAAAACTAAGGCTGGTTGAGACCTAAAAAGATGTAATCTTTCCTGATAGATCCAGTGAAGAGCGAGTAGCGAAGAGTTTGATCATTAACCTAAAGCTCTAAAGAAGAAAAGGGCTAAAGAGACTCGCTTAGGTACGGCAAGGTCTGTAGCCTTGATAAGAAGATACCATGAAGTAATTCATGCGGAAAAGTCGATTTATATAAACGGTTTCGTTGGATCTAAAAGGGGTGGGTCAGTCTCTCTGTTTTCATCAGATTCTGATAAAAGGCTGTTAAGCTCAGGACGGTGATCTTAATAGGTCGGATAGCTGTACCTGGTTGCTTCCAGCCCACCCTTGTCGCTTGAAAATAAGTTCTCACCCCACCTCTTCCAAAAATGCAGTTACCAGAGCAGGAAACTCTTCTTCCTCCTCTTCTTTCAACCCAAACACAATCAGGTTCCAGCTCCTCTCCTCCTCTGCAGCCACAATCTTATCTCCTTCTTCGGCGTTTTACTGTTGCAGACTGTATCACTTGCACTGTTCTTTTGCAGTACTCCTGCACTGTAGCTCTGTGTCCGTGACTACACCGTGGTTTACACTGCCCCTCAACTGCAATCTTAAGTAACTTTAGTTCCGGCACTCTTTGGCCATTAAAATAACCAACTCCAATGAAACCCCGTGTAGCTACGTTCTGCTAGGCGGAAAAAAATATTTTCAAATTTGGCGGAAAAAAATATTTTCAAATTTTCAAACTTTTTTTCAAAGTCTCGAAAAAAATTTTTAAGTGAAAAATTTTTGAAGTTTTTCTAAAAACTACATTTCTCCGTGTTTCAAACGATTTCAATCATTTTGAGCCAATAAAAAATTTTCACTTTTTTCGGTGATTAACTAATTGGTAATCATCCAATTAGCTGATTGTCCAATGTAAAAATTTTTGATACAAAAGTTTTACTCCTTGATAAGATAAACATTCTAGGTTAATTTGCAGCCTTCTACGATGTTCACAACTAAAGATATTTGGCAAACCAGAAAAGTGGTACAGAGGTGGTAAAAAGTGGTAAAAGTGGTGTTTCTGTTGAGATACAAAATTGGCAACAAGTCTAATTATGTTCGTAGGGGTCCTAACTACCATATTCCGTTGAGAAATCCTTGTGAACATTCAAATCCAACGGAATGCCACTTTTCCCCTTACTAATATGGGTATCAGCATTCAGTAATAGACTTTATTCTCCAGTCTGCTGATAGTCATGCCATTTCATTTCAGGGTACATATTTGGCAAGATTACCCCGGCGGTCTCAACCAGGACATCAACGGATGGTCTGTAGCGCAACTTGGGCGAGCGAGGACAACGCGGCTAATCTCTTCACATGTGGATTTGATAACAGGTTTCATTTTATCATCGATCATCGACAGTTTATAATCTTCAAAAATTTGTTATTCGTAAAATAGAATTAACTAGATATTATCCTCCAAATACACAAATGTGCGATGGAGTTAACTTAGAATGTCCGAATTCTAAGTTTCCGGCCTGTGATCCCAATCCAATTAACAATTCAATTCAAATTGACACAATTATCTTAGGACTATTGCCTGGAAAATCACAGTTGACCACGATAGTCACAGATGATATCAGTAGGACTTTCTTCGACGGTTGAAAGCACCCTAACCTACACACTTTAACTCAAGATGGCAACAAAGACGATTGATTACATGTGTAATAATTACATTTGTTACGAACAGTAATTGAAATGAATGTTATCGTATTTGCATTCCGCTGTCAATTGATCATCAGGACTTTAATTCGAGTAACTAACAACTTTGCTCTGTAGTTACCGCTGTTAGAACAACCTATGAACATTTTGAAAAGACTGAATTGGTAAGTGTCACGAGATTCTAAAAATGTGTATGAGTTCTTATTATACGTTAACCTTTAAAAAGCCTGCTGCGTCTTCTGAGAATTTTGAAGCGAATTTAATGATGGTTACTTTAATTTGACGATTTTATGTTATTTGAGATCAATATTTGCTATTTCGGTGATAATTACGAATTTGAATTATGTACTTATCTTGATGTGGTAAGAAGTAGAGGGTAACCTATCCATAAAATTTCTAGATTTATCTATCAAACATTAAGTTTAACAAAATTTGCTTTAAATCAAATTTCAAACCTTGAGAGAGAATCCTATTTCTCACATCCCTCAACGGCATATATCGTAGTATCGATTGTAGTCATTTTAATGTTTCATGTTTGTCTTCATATTTTGTGATTATTTTTAGATTTTGTACCGTTGTTGCTTGCTTTGCTATTGATACAAGATATCTGAGCTCTGTTCTATTTTAAAGATGCTGGACGTTAAGTTGAGAGTTTCACGTCTTGGTTTTTGGTAACTTCCAAGCTGAAGAATTATTGTGTAATCAATGATTTTAACGATGACTGTTTAGTAATAAAAAAGTTGATGAGCAACCTATTGTTTCTTTAGATACATTAGCTGAAAAGGGTCTGTGTTAATTAGAAATTCAAGACTTTAACTAGTTGTGTGATGTTGGGCACACCATCCGAACTAAAATATGGAATTCCACAATTATTATCACATGATCTGTTTAATCGTTGGATGCTAAAATTCAATTTTGTGAATGAGAGACAAAAGTCCATGACCCGATTTTGGTTTCGTATCATTTGCCTCGGGATCTTATGTTGTTTAACCCCAGCAACCATGTAATTTGAAGTAGCCTTCACTCTTATAACTGAGTCTGAACGTGAAACATACTGATTTGATTAAATTCAAGTCAAGGTCAATACATGCTGATTTGATAGATTATCAAAATATGTTTATGTAATATTCTATTGATATGATTTTGATAACGATTGTAAAATGTTGTTTAATTTTCCGCAGTTTTCAGCATCCTACATATTAACAAAGTTGCTCCGCTGTAACACTGAGGAAACATAATAAAATTAATATGAAACCCTAAATATAATATCAAGTTCCTTTTCAGGGAAAAATCTTTAAGTTTAAAGAAGTCCTCGACATTTTTAAAGCTTAAGCTCAGGTCACATATTAATCAGTTAGATAGATTAATTTGATGTCGACCATTTCTACTCTTAAAGTCATTTTCGACCTTTTCTACTCTTAAATTTTAGGGTGTCCGAATTTTCAAAACCACCCCCCTCCCCTGCACTGGACGTCCGGATTTCCAGCTACTTTTAAGAGTACAAATAAAACCAACTCAAATTCATTGTTAATAAAATGTGTAGTTATTTAAAATAGACAATAAAACATTTACTGTCGAACAAGTTTAGCACAGTTCAATTTAAGTACTCATTCAAAATACAGGGATCTAAACTTACAGAGTAATTAGTGTCAAAGAGTTGAAATAACTGGGACTTTTTCGTAATTCTGCCAAAATTTCCGGATTTTCAGAAACCACCCCCTCCCCCGGTCCGGACTTGTCCGAAAATCCAAAACCACCCCCCTCCCTATTTGCCGGACGTCCTAAGTAGATGGCCCCATACAGATCAATAGTCTATAGATAAATATAATACACATAATAACAGTAAATTTTGTTTGTTAACCATGCAGACTGCAAAGTGTAGATCTAACTTTAAAAAATAATAATAATTAAAAATTATTTGAATACAATGCATAAGTCGCATACAACTACAAGTTCTCCTCAACTATCCTCAAAAAATAACAACTTTTATAAAAGGTTAAACAAAACATCGTTATAAAAATGTTAGATCTAGAGCAGTACCTAATCGTTTGTACGTTTATAAGTATAACCTACCACTACCAGGACGCGTCGACGGTCCTGATAATATTTGAAACAAATATTTTACGAGTATCACCCGTTAACCTAATCGTGAACTAGCAAATTCAAAAAAAGTTAAAACAAAACGTCATGAGAGTGAGACATGAGCTTGAAATTCACGATGTCAATCCTTCACAGTGGTGCATCTCGCCGATCTTGTGAGAAGCATTGTTGGCTGGGCGGCCCAGTAATTCATTGCGCTACAAGACATGAGCGCAGCACGTCTAATTTTTGTTTATAACCGTTACTGTAACTATGGAGTCCTCAGTTTCATTGTTTTTATGTGTAAGGTGCTTAATCGATATTGTAGGTTTATAACCTACCAGGACGCGCGCCGATTTGGACTCGTCGACGAGTATCACCCGTTAAAATCGATAAGAATAGAATTCAACTTAATGTCAGAGTCCGCAGAAGTGGAGTCTGAGTCCGCGGAGATGGAGTTTAGGTCCACGGAGGTGGAGTCAGTTAATTGAGAGTCCAATCTATCTGAACTATCTGATCTATAGACCTTTGAGATCTCGACGAGCACGTCGGATGCTAAGCGTGGAAGCTTTTGTGGTGCTATTAGGTAGGTCGCTACCTCGAACAGGTCTATGAACGGCATGTATCTATCACTGAAAATAAAGGAATGATAAGCATTATATAATTGTCCCACGTTCCGTCCTCAACTAATTTTCGCGGCCCAGAACGGGACACCACGTCACACGTGCTGCTCACGTGTCAAGCCACGCAATGTCTGGCAATTATTCGATTATAAAATACATTGGACTATGACTTCCAAAAATTGTGTGGTAAATCATGATCACAACCTTGGTAATGGTGGATGAGATCGAGGAATTATTTTTAGATTTAAGGTTCTTATTCTTAATAGCTTGATCTCATCCACCATTACCAAGGTTGTGTAAATATGATGTGGCTATAGTTAAGGTTGTGTAAATATGATGTGGCTAGTAACCTGACAGTTGAGCGGAGATAATTATAGCCCCCGCTTCCTCCGGTTCCTGGTCGTCCTCCGATCATCCTTTTAACCATCATGGCGTGTCCAACTGTGAAACATTCGCATTATTATTCGCAATAATTTCTGAACAATATTGTATTAATATCTGTGAATATAATGATAGATACGTTGGTTTAGTAACCTGATACATAGAAGAAAAGCTCATAATTTCGAATCTGGTCGGAACTCAGAATACTTACATCTAAATTTCGTCAAGAATGTGTCCATATCCATGAGGTTCTTGATGATTTCGTAAGGGACAGTAAATCTAGGCTCTGAAGAATAGCAGTTGATCATAAGGGCTCCCATGAAAGCGCGGTAAGACAGCTTTCTCCCGTGGATTCGACCACCATTCTGCAAGAAATATAATATAATAATCTATGTACACGTTATTCAAAGATAGAATGACACGATCACAAATCATTTGTTACAAGCCCTGGCTATAAGTAGAAACTTAATTTTAGTGCATTCACTGAAAAGTAAAAAATCTGTCGTTTTTCCTAATGTTACCTCATATTTTTCTTGGTCAAAGATGATGGCACAATCTTTTTCTAATTGTTTCGCTTTTGACTCGAATATTCCACTTTTAGCGTGATCAATCTGTTCTAAAACCTGTCAGAAAACATGTTTTAATGAGAGTTATTAATTTTTCCATATGAAAGCACTAAGCAGTTAGAAGTAACTTTATAAACTTTTTATTATACGCCTACATCATACAAAACTTAAAACTTAAAGGACCATCCTCATTATGACCACCAAAATCAGAAACAACAACCTACTTCAAATCCTTGCATTTAAAAATTTGTTTAAAACCCAGCAATAATGAAGTAAATGTAATTGTTAATTAACCACGAAGAGCTCGAAATTTACTGTATCACAAAATACGTGTTCAATAGATGTTTTCTGTTGACACTAACCTTGGCTTTAAGATAAAAATCATTGATGACACCTTCAACAGCGTTTTTGTATGAGATAAGAAAGTGTTGGAGCCCTGGAGTTCTTGACAACCATCCGTCTATCCTGAAAGTAGTCAAAATATGTCAGGATATGTCAGGATATGCCAGGATATGTCAGGATATGTCAGGATATGTCAGGATATGTCAGGATATGTCAGGATATGCCAGGATATGTCAGGATATGTCAGGATATGGTACTACTCGATTGAAAGCTGGCATATTTTTCATTTATTGTTAATAACATTTCGAATTACATTGTTATTCGAATGTAACTGGAAATGAACACTTACAAAGTACAGAGATCTTGGTCGTCCTGGTGATCTTCAATCTCCTGTCTCTGCTCCTCAGTTAACTTCTCGTTGTAGGAGTTCAGAAATGTGCATGTTCGTTGTTTCTGAATGTTAGACAATGTTTACATATTCACAAAATTATAATTCCAAGAACTTATGATCTAAGTTCTTAAATACTCCTTTGGACATTAGTCGGAATGTGGCCGGAATACATACCTCTTTGATTCCCAGAATTTGTTCAAGTAAGCGGAACTGTGTGCTTTGAAAACCGCTAGCTCCACCTTGAAATACTTCTCTAAAGGACATGAAATTGATACAACTCATCGTTTCGAGCACCTAGTGAGACGAAAATAATTAAGTTGTGATGAAATTAAATTTGGATAATTGGTGAATAGTAACTATGAACAATTGGTTATTACAATTAGTCTCTAAGAATTGTACTCCCAATTACGAATAAAGACGACATCTTTTTCGATCTTAGGGAGCGTTCACACTTTACATATTACAACATTACTTTAGTAAGTTGTTGGCCATTCCCCCTCCTCCCCTAAATAACGTCAGTATTTGCCAGACCCCCAATCGAATTTCCTTCACTTCGGCTGCCGAAGTAATATATCGACGCTCCCTTATTCAGCAAATAATATTATTGAGCATCATCATATCATCGGATTCAAGGAACGTGTTAACGTCCTAAAAATAATTAATCATTAAATGTTCCGGATAGGAACATTTTTCTTTTTGATAATATTGTGCGAACTGCAATAGCGTAGAGTGCAGTTGGGTTTCAAGTTTTGTCGAGATGGCCATGTGGCCATAATCCTATTATTATTATTATAAAGGGTCTCAATAAGAGGTCTCGACTGCCTAGGCGTCAGACCTTGGCAGTCGGTAGTTTTCCTCTGGCCCGGGATCAGCTGACCCTAGGGACCAGAGGATAAAGGTGTAGAAACTATATGTATCTACAAAACTTTCAAGGTTGTTTTTACAAGAGACAGGGCTTGCTGCGCAAGGGAAGAAAAGCGGGAGAAACACTCACAAATTATACAAATAAATATTATAAAACATAGCAAAAAGAAATTCAAACAATCCTACACTACTACAAATGTTTATTACATACTACAATGTGATACATGATAATTATATGCTGTATAGACAAGAAACAGGGCTTGCAGGGCAAGAGATGGATCAAAGGGACTAGTCACAGAGTGTAATATACAGTGATTCAGCAAGAACCCATTGCTGAATCTGGCACACAAAATACCACAATCAATACAAAAATATACAATATTATATCAAACAATATGTTTATACAAGAATCAGGGCTTGCAGAGCAAGAGAAGAAAAATAAGAGAAAACTACCATCAACTGTATATACCGTAGTCCATCAGATAGGTAATCATTACTAATACACAAATCAGCAGGGCTAACAACAATATAAAATCCATAATAAATACTCAATCTACCCAATATACGAGTTAAAAATTGTATAAACAAGAGACAGGGCTTGCATAGCAAGGGAAGAAAAATAAGAGGACCAGGTAAAAAGTGTTTATTAGAGTACCCAGTGAAAATTAAACTTTAAAAAAAAAGAGTATTTACAGTGTATTATACACTCAAATATATTATATGTCTAAGACCATCCTGAGAATCCTGGCTGATCCAAGCAGAGCTGTCTTCTGGAGATTAGAGATGCTCAGATTGCAGTGGACTGCGTCGAGGTGTTTACGAAAGTTTATGGTGATAGTTCCTAATGCGCCTATCACCACAGGGACGATTGTGACCTTTCGTAAATTCCAGTTCTTCTTAATTTCTCTTTTCAGGTCTTGATA